TAGATGTCACGTGTGTAAATGGATGTCCCACCAACGACAATGGTTGGGGTCGCGCTAAATCATGAATTGGTAGAAGTTAGGATTAATGGGCTGGTCATTGAATCGGGTCCCAGTGGCTGAATGATATACGAGCTTGACTTGTAACCGGAAGGTCCTGGGTTCGACTCCTGGAGGTAGGTGCGTACTGCCGATGATTCCCAAACTAGGATGAAACAGCAGCTGTCCAGTACTCCTTGCTAGTTTTGAATGGTTCTCTAACTGATATCAATCCGTGATCAACTCGTAAAAACACTTTTTTGTCTGAAAGTGAAACTAACAATCTGAAATTTCGAGGGATTTATTTTAATACGACTCAACAAGGACTACTAATTAATTCTTGACAAAAGCTGTTCATTTTATAACCGTCTGATTAAGAAGTAATCAACTTGGAAACCGTCAGAATATTGGTATACTTAACAGAATTGGCTTCATCAGTATGATGCAGGTCATATAAACAAAAAGAAAACAGAGAAGAAGAGAGAAGAGTACTTTCAGGGACACCAGTTACAGTGAATAAAGCGATGGAAGACTTTCTTGTTTTTACAGTGTACTGCTTTCTGTATGAATAATAAGGATGCAACCATTCCCCAGTCTAGAATCCATTTAGTATTACGTCAACATAAGAGAACTAAATACAGAGTTAAAGGCAGGGAAGGCATGCCGAGGACATTTAGCCTCTGCAATTAATAGTGTTCTCTGAGCTGGTTGGTTTAGTTGTGGAGCTTTCGTCGTCCTTCTGGACAACATCTTCAGGGGAATTTTTAGCATAAAGTGGAATGATTTAAATTTCTTCATGAGTGATAGAATTGTGTCTCCCGGTAACCATCTTTACATATGTATTGATCATTTTCTATTGATTTGGATTTTAAACTTTATGGTAACATGATTTAATTTTTATTAGTTGGTATATTTAGTCTAAATTAACGTGTCTGTAAATTGCATGTTTGTTTGAGTACCAGGCTTCTAGGAATTCCCTGACTGCACTTTTGGTGTTTCCTCTGTCTAAGATTTCGACATTATCCCAGTTATCAAACTGATGTCCAAAATTATCTAAATGCATTGATATGAAAGAATATATATCGTGCCTTTTCACGGCTGATTTGTGTTCCTGGATTCTGATTCTAAGGGAACGCCCACTTTGGTCGATGTAATGCCTGTTACAGTTGATACAATTTATTTTGTAAATGGTATTAATTTTATCTCCTTTTTCTGTTGGATCTTCCGGTTTGCATAATATCGAATTAAGCGATTTGATTGGCTTGTGTGCTATATGCTATATCAAACGGTTTCAGTATTGTAGCCGTTATTTTAGAGATATTTTTCATGCATGCTAGGATAAATTTTCCTGTGGTCTTTGATGATGGTTTCTTGTTTATGTTGTGACTCGATTTCAAACACTTTTTGATGAAACTGTTAGGATATCCGTTCTTTTTGAAGACAGTTAGTAAGTATTTTTGTTCCATTCTCTTCAACACAGAAGTGTGTGCTACAGTGTGCTTGAAATCTTTTAAACAATGTCTGCACACAGTTTCTTTTCTGAGTAATTGGATTATTGCTAGTATAGTTGAGTATTTGATCTGTGTGCGTTGATTTTCTATATACTTGTGTTTCTAAATTTCTTGTGTTGGTTCTCCTGATTATCTAATTCTTCTTCTCTTGTGAATTTGATGTCTTCAAATATGTTGTTTATTATAAAATTATATTTGTAAAACCTCATCGAAATTGAAATGATTAACTCCAACATTTGTGCGTCGGTGGCACCATGCACATGCTCCGGGGTTCAATACCCGACCGACGCTCTCCTTTACCTCGCCAAACCGGTAATAAAAAAGCCGGTAAAGAGGAAAGGTTGAGCATGAGGCTATGCAACCCCGTCCTGTAAAAATAAACACTGCTACAGAAACTTCAAGCCTATACTCCACTGGGAAAATGAAGGAAAAAAATTCCAACGTTTCGTTCGGTAATCTGGTTCGATTTTCTTCAGGGAAATTAATCGAAATTAGCATAACAAAAGTTTGTTTTTAAAAGGAACATCTCTTGTTTTTGAAACTTTGCCCAATCATGAGCCATGAAACAGTCATCAATATGTAGAATAAACAAAATTGTATGTTTATATATAAAAAGAATATCTCTTGTTTTAAATTGTTTGTCCTGTCATGTGAATCATGAAACAGGTATCAACAGGTATAATAAACAAAAATTTTATGAACTGTGATCAAAATTTGACCTTAGACTTTCAAAATTAGTCTACTTTTGTTAAAATATATATGTATATGCAGGCGCTCAATTGTTTTGCAACTATCCGGTCAAATCTCGACCACAGTTCATATGAATGTTGTTTATTAATTTATGGGTATATTCTAAATCATTTCTCTTAACTATTACAAATGTATCATTAACGTAACGCACCCAGATTTTCGGTTAAATTATAGGTAGAGCTATTAATTCTAATCTTTGCATGACGGCTTCAGCTACTAATCCTCTTTTTATCTAAACTGGAGACAATATTATGATGTACAACAACAAAGGAGACTAAATTAGGTCTAACATCTTTGTAGACAAATTGTGTTGGATCGGTAAAAGCCTTCAATAAAGGTTCAAGGTTAAGTCCAAGCTGTGTTTTCTTCATTATTTCAAAAAAAGTTGATGTTTTAGAAATAAGTCTAAACTTAACTCATGATTCACTAAATGATTTAAGCACCCGAAGAGTTCTAATGTCAGTCCAAGACAGCAGATTTATCAGCAAATATGGATAATTTCTGGTTTCCAATGATAGTTACCGCCAACCAAAATAGCATCATTCCATTATGGATAAAATTTATTTTGATAAAGTCATACAGTGTGTTATACAGTAGTATATTTACTGATGACCAAAATTCGAGAACAATTTATTACTGCTCATAATCATATCAGGTTACTCACATAACTTTCCTACTTCATTTATATGATTCCACTATTTCACATCTCTTGATTTGATCGGTAGTGGTATTTCCAATATTTCTGGTATGGGTGATGTGCCACTCCTATTGCACGTGTTGTGTATAGATTCGATGGACAAAGATTCAGTAATCAATCTCTCTCGCTTTCCGCCTACCTCTATCGCTTTTTAGGAATTTCAACTCTATCCCACCCTGTTGTGTGGTTGTGTGTTAATGCATACATTGAAATTCCTAAGTTTTTCTCTAAATTACTTATCTTTGCGGGTGGGGTCAGTTATTCTAACCTTAGCTACACTGTTATGTTCTGATAATCTGATTACCCCCTGAACCCACAGCCTATAAAAGGTATTTTACAAATAATATTATTTTGTCTAATTGGGTCAACCGACAGATTCCTTTAACCTAAGGAGTTTGTCCCTGAGTGAGTTTGTTGGTCTAAATGCCACTCGTATTCCTGCCTTATTAAGAATCTTACATAGAGTCATAGATTTCCCTTCTTTTTCTACATAAGCAAGTAGGTAGGCAGAGAGAAAGAGAGGTTGATTACTGGACCTTTGTTCATCGAATCTAAATCCAACACATGAAATAGGGATGACTCATCACTCATACCAGAAATATGGAAAACATTACTACCAATCAGATCAAGAGATGAAAAATAATGGAGTCATATAAATGAAGTAGGAAAGTTGTGTGAGTAGTGCCTTGATATGATTATGAGCAGTAATAAATTGTGCTGGAAATGTGGTCATCAGTAAATAAACTACTGTATAACACTGTATGATATAGTCCTTCTAGGCGAGGACGCTAACAAAATGCAGAGTCTTCTGAAGACCTTGAGCTGCAATCTACGAATGTTTGGCATGCGATTCGCTCCCGCCAAATGCAAGATGATGTTACAGGACCGAACTACACTGACTCCTAGTTTAAAAATAAGGAGTGAGGTGGTAGAGCGTGCCGACCGCTTGACTTATTTGGAAAGTACCATCAGTCAGTCCCAATGGGTTAATCTCTGACGAAATCTCAGCATGGATACAGAGGGCTAGTTTCGCATATGCCAGTTTACGCAGTCTCTGGCGCAGACGTGATATCCAACTATCGACCAATGGGCGGGTGTACTGCCCAGCAGTCTGCTCCGTCCTCCTTTATGGCTGGCTGTGAGACCTGGCCATTGAGAGTGGAAGACATGAAAAGATTAGCTGTCTTTGATCACAGGTGCCTGCGCTCTATCTCCCGTGTGAAGTGGTATAATAAGGTGAGCAATATTGAGGTTATGCGACGGTCGAGTGCTCCGTAAAGAGAGGAAATCAGCCGACGAGTCTGTGAAGCTACATCAACCGAGATGGATAGGACATGTGTTACATATGCCTAGTCATCGCCTCCCTCGACGGGCAATGTTAGCTGACATAGGATTAGTCAGGCTGGAAAAGAGCAAGCGGCGTTCAAACCAAAACATGGCACCAGTTAATGAAATCCACAACAGTTAGTTTACGCTAGTCACGTAGGAAGGTGTAGACTTCCTGACTGGTTGGGGTCCTCGGGACGGTTAAAACCAATGGTTGGAAACAATTGGTGACATGGCTCAAAACCGTTCTTAATGCCTAGCGCAGATGCATCCACTTCTTGTGACTTGTGATTTCCAGTGAAACTATATTGTTCTCTGTTATTACTATTCCTTTGTCTCACACCTCTGTTTACTGTCTCTATTATACAGTTCTTCTACTTTCTTCTGTTGCTTTGTGTGCTACAAGGAGGGAGTGTGGCGACTTGAATTGGTGCACATCGGTGCAAAGTTCCATGTCGTAAAACAGACTGACAGACATCAAAATAAATTTTATCCACAATAGAATTATACTCTACCAAAATGCATAAGTCCTATTCTTCTATCAAAACAGAATCAGTTTATTTTTAATGTTATACTGAATAAAATTTGATTGAAACTTTAAACTTTCATGTTTTCCTCACTTCTTCTTTTTGTGCCTTATTTTCTTGTTTTGTTTTTGTTTCTTTTTTGCACTTATATAGCACTTGATTTAATTGTTGATGCAATTGTAGAAGCTGGTTACGTGGGTAAAATTGTTATTGGAATAGATGTTGCTGCCTCTGAAATGTATTCACCTAAAAATGATAAAAAGTACAATTTTGACTTTAAAGAATCCTGTTCCCAGGAACAAACACATTTTCTTACTGGAGAAAAATTATTAGACTATTATACAAATTTATCACTACGTTATCCATTAGTTAGCATTGAAGATCCATTCGATCAAGATGATTGGGATAATTGGATTAAACTGCGTTCACGTGTACCAATTCAAGTAAGTATGATTTGTTTTTTCGTTATTGCTTTATCTAATTGTATTCTATTGTGAAGGGAATCAGGAGGACACTCTGGACCTAAGTTTTGCGCTTGTTGGTACTCCTCAGAAAGGGGTATCTGCAATCTTAAAACAGCTGATATCGCCTCTAATGCTCTAGCTCAGATCACTGACTAATGCTAAGGTCAAAGGTGTTACCACTGTGCCATTCAGGCCAGTGACTGACCTCATCTATGTGACTGTGATGGATACCACGTTCAGATAACCGATAGTAATTAATATCAAGCGTCTAATCCTTGATGTTGATGAAGACTGAATCCCCTCTGTCAAACATACAGTGTGACCACAGTATTACTCGGCTCACCATCACGGTGCATTCTCAATTGCTGTTATTACATAGCTGGAGGTGATCGACAGAAGCCTACCTAGTCTTCAATCAAATATACTACTGTTTTATTGAATAGGAAGAATAAAAGACGGTTTTAGTGAAGAAGAAGTTTTCGTTACTACTAGATGAGGCGACAAGTCATGTCTCATTGGGCTACATTGGCATGTGTGTATAGGTTCATTTCCTAATATGAAGATGAATTCCTGCTGCCATGTGTTTATTTGTAAAACGCGCTCCTGGACCCCATCTTACCTGATCAACAAAAGGAGAGTGGAATTTCATCTTTCATTTGATAAGAAAATATTCTAAACTCAGGATACCCAGTTTTACTTGAGAAATCTCTCAAAGTCCTCTACAAAATCCAATCAAATTTCTGAAAACGGGCATATGGACATAGCCCAATCAATATGAATCCGAGTGAAGTTAAACTATCATAGTCAAAGTCAGGGTCTGTCAAACGATGAACTCAGCTCGGACCCAGAGCACGATTCGGAAGGTCATTCGAAATCGAAATCCTAACAGCCTTTATGAATTTAGTTAGTCAGTTTCATGGGAGATTGAGTATCTGACTGTGTCATTTGGGAGTTATTTGGAGTCACAAAGACTTGTGTGTATATGAAGGAAGACTATAACAATAAGGCAGTACAACCTTGTAGGAGATAAATATATTTCTATACCTGAAACTCATGCTATAATGGAAAGTTGGTTCGTGCGGGTAATATGTAGCGAGTGCTATTGATAAGACTTATCTCTAGTATATAAAGAGAATTTCATCGGTAGAAAAACATCAAATAGCAAGGAGAAATAGAAAATCAAAACAAGTGATTCAGCGAAGAGAATCTTTTCAACGAATTTATCATCAAGCTGTACAATCGTATATATATATATGGTTTTCAAGAAGTTATATCCGGTGAGGGAATTCAATCACAGGTGTGAATGCATAAAATAATAATAGTATAAAACGTGACTTATCATCCGTACCCAAGAAAATACTTTACTTGAGCTTGGAATTCAAAGGTGACTTAGCTTCCGATATCATAAAACGAAGAATATCACAGTCCCTGAGAATAGCCTTTACTAGTAGACCATTGCTGTTCAATCACCTGAAGGACAAGATCCCGCTGTTGACCAACTCTATGTGTGTTTATCAGTTCATCTGCTCCTGTGGAGCTAGGTATATCGGTCGTTCGACTCGAGTTTTGTCCAAGAGGGTGCAAGAGCACTATCCTGCATGGTTACGAAGAGGTTGAAGTGGAGCAATAAGAAGCGCGATCACTGAACATCTGGTCGATAATGATCACCCTATCTCTATAGCCTCCGCCTTTAAAGTCATCTACAAGGGGAAGAGTAATTTACCCAAATCCCTACGTACTCGACTCATCTGTAGTGCTGAAGCTTTGGCTATCGAAACAGAAAAGCCAGATCTCTGCGTACAGAAAAAGTTCATTCAACCCATCCAACTTTCATGATCCTAATCCCTCTACGCTTAAGTATGATAATCCATAGTCATATTTTTGCTCTACCAATTTTTCATCTTGTCTATTCAATTTGTATACTCTTCCTTTATTACGTCAATTTTTACTATTACTACCCTCACTTTGAACCGAGCCCGGTATTATTTCACTTGTTCCACTTGTCATTCTAAATTAATGCTATCAAATTTCACACAGTATTACATAACGTTTTTATTTTATTCGATTTGTCTACTAATCTTATAATTACACACCCTTTTCAAAATTCTATCCATCCTATGAATTATTCTATATATGGCATTAATTTGTTTTGCCAATTTACATTTAACTATGGTTATAATCAAAAACATTTTAGTTTTTAATTGCATTTCATACTACTATTATTATTATTTTATGCATTCACACCTATGATTCAATCCCCTTACCGGATATAACTGCTTAAAAGCCATATAAATACGATTGTACAGCTTGATGATAAATTCATTGAAGAGTCTCTTCGCCGAATCCCCTGTTTTGATTTTCTATATGTTACAATGGGAATTTCCCATGAGCAAGGAGATAGACGATTTGATGTCAGAAAAAAAGTAAATGATACAACGTTGCAGAGATACATGGAAGACGTGAAAGGAACACAAAGAAACCCAGCATGAAGGCTAGTATTAGCACAGTACAAAGATCTGTGCAAATGGTACGTTGATGATAAGGTGTACATAATTTGATTACATAGAGATACGAAACTGCAAAGAAATATATCCCATATCCAAGTCTTTCGTCTTCTATCGTTACACTATTATCTTCTGTTTGATGATTAATCTCACTGCTGTTTATTTTTTCTTCTCGTGTGATTCTGTCTTCATTTCTATATAGGTGGCATGTAAATATGAGATATGACAACTTTGATCATTCATCATATATTGACAATGTCTTATCAAAATGTTTGATTGATTGTCTGATTGAGAGATAGATAGCGTCGGTGGCACAGTGGTTAGGACTCTCGCCGACCATGCACATGGTCCGGGGTTCGAGCCCACGCCGGCGCACACCTGATATCTATGGTCGGCCTGCAAAATTTGGGCTACCGATATCCATGCTGAAAATTCCATACTGCACCAAAACTACAGTGTGGAATCAAGCTGTAAATCAAAAATAAAAAAAAAAAAAAAATAAAAAATAAAATAGACAGACTGATTAATTAATTGATTGATTAAGTAACTGCCTGACGGACAGGAGGGCTGTCTGAGCGACTAACCAACTCATATCTGAAAGTAGTCAGAGAAGAAATCTAGAATATACATTTCAGAGGATAAAAATATTGAGCAGAGGATATTCTTTTCGACAAATTACTCAGTCATGTATTGAAAACAATTAGTTCCCTTTATGTATTTAAATAAAGCAATAAGAATGCGTAATTTGGCTGAATCGTGTAATGTATTTGTGCGCACAACACATTTCGAACAATCTGATCGATCACACTAGGACTTGTCATAGGAATATAAGTGAAATTAATAAAGAATTAAGAGGTGAGAAAATAGACTTAAGTCAAGGTAAAAGTACATATTGAAGGTCAAAATAAAAATGAAGATTACTAAATCAAATAAGAGAGGTAATAGTACATCTGACCTGGTTTTAAAGCAAAGTTTACCAAGGAGGATTTAGTGTGATGACGAATTGTTTTTGAACTCATAAAGATGACTTAAACTTCCTAATTGTTAGCTAGGGCTTCCACAAACTTTTGGATACGCCCCATGCACGTTTTATAGATAGGTTTCAAAGATGTGTAAACATCAACTTTATGTCCTTTCTCTATAAAATGTTTCGCAATAGAGGAGCTAGGTCTCCTGTTCTCACCACTAATGGGTTCTGAGGATTCTTGTTGTTTCTGAAGCCATTTAGGGATATGCTCTGAAGCCCTTACTTGCAGAGATCGATGAGTCCTGCCTATATATGTATGGCCACACACACACACATTCAAATTGGTAAATACAGTGGGATATGACGTCATTTTTCGCATGTTCGAACGGCTTAGATAGATATAATGGCTTTACATTCTCTATTATTATGATATTAGCTGCATTAAAAGTCTTTTTAACAGCAACGTTCAGTCTTTATCTAGTTATCAAGATGCTATAATGCCCCGCCCATATAGGGTAGCTTGATGTACACGTTTTTCTTAGGGGCGAGTTGTAGAATGGATCATGGTGTTCTGACCACCATATATCTCCTGATGAACTTGTCTGGATAATTGTTATCAACCAGAGTTTGTGTCAACTTTCTTACTTCTTCATCAAGTGTGTCTTCAGTACGTATTCGTTGGATTCTACTGAAGAGGCACCTTACTAAGGCTCTTTTGTACCGAACAGCGTAGAAACTATGGTAATTAAGATACTGTCCTGTCCAGGTAGGTTTTCTATAAATAGATCTTTTTATTGACCAATCAAGCCGTCGACTGAGCAACATGTCTAGGAAAGATAAACAATTATCAGTTATATTTGTATAACATAATATTTGAAGAGTAATTATAATTGACGACGCTGATTTTTCTTACATAATATAGAGTTGTTAAGATCAATAGTATTACATTTCAAAAGCATGTGTAATTGATCAGATGTAGAAATATAAATTGAATATCAGACAAAATTAACACAAAAAGCAATGCAACCATTAAAGCGGAAGTTAAAGGAGGTTAAAGCAATAATAGTTTATGAATAGTTTAGGGGAGGTTCAAATTTCCCAAAAAACATAAGTTCGACTTCATCATGAGCTGACATTGTTTACAGAACCACTAGAAAACCTAGGAGTACTGGACAGCCGTTTCATCCTGGTTCGGGACTCTTCATCAGTACGCACCTAATACTCCCAGGTTTTCCAATGCTTCTCTAACCAATGTCAGCTCATGATGAAATCCTGTAACCAAACAACCAAATCCCTACAAACCAATACTTGAATAAGTTTGACTTCTTCAGATGAATTCCACTAGCTTCAGATGTATGTAACAGTCGAACTCATGATTATGCATAATTAGGATTCATTGGAATACTACATGATACTTCGAGCGTTTTGTTTGCGTCAACTTTGTGTTTGCTATCCACGTCGTGAGGTAAAACAAAGCTACACATTGAAACTCTGTTTGTTTGTTTAACCAGACAGACTGTTGATGTTCAAAAATCTAATGATGAACATGCCTTATTTTTCACACAATGTAGCTGGCTTCACAGGAGCAGTCACTCTGGTAGATACACAGACAAGAGGTGAAGTTGGGTAGTTTGTGTTTATTCCTCGAAAGTAAAATTCGAATGGTACTGAAGATACAGTATAGCTCTGTTGCAGTTTCCAGACGTTGTATTATTATTTCGCTGATGTTACAGCAAAAAGCTACAGTTTCAGAAATAAGGGTCTCTCTAGAACGATTGACATACTAGCCCGGCTTAGCAATAAATGCATAGTTTTATCGGCAAACTTTTCTGGATATCTAATTCCCAAGTGTTGGTTTGCAGGGATTTTATTGGTTACAGGTTTGATCACAAGATGACTTAAGTCTTTCAACCGCCTCCCTTAGTGAAGGTATTAAGTCTTCAGTTTGAGTAAAGAGGTTTTCACACTGAACTTGTATATCTATTTTATTATTCGGCGGCCTGTTTAAAACTTGAGCTACCAGAAACTTCCATCTCTCTATTACATATATTTTCTCTTGCTGGATTTGTCCCAATCGGTTAAGATATGACCTCTTATGGTATTATCTACTCTTATGTGTATTTAAAGTGTTTGCAAGCTTCTGATTCACAAGTTTTTGCTAAACTTGAGGAATGACCTGACTGTAGGTGGTTACATGCTCCAATACATGAGATGACTTCTCTTCAGGTATGTTTTTGGCTCTCAGAATGTACTTCTGAATATCTTGTGATTGGCTTTCACTGTATTACTGGATGTGCTGTCAGTTAATATTTTACTTGAAGATATTGTACGAAGGGAAAATATCATGGAATAAACTCCTCTGAAAATTCTGTATATTATATAAATAGTGCGCAGAATAAAGATACCATCATTATTATTAATTCTAGCATGATTGCCACATATTTTAGGGCCAGGAGATAATACTTATAGACCTACTTCATTAAACACCAAATCAGAAAAATTATAAACATACAGACCAGGAGATTCACTCTGCTTAAGGTTTCATAAACTGAATAACATACAATTAATATCAAACTGTACTTTACAATAAGTCAATAGTCTATGAATAGCAATGAAAAATCAAATATAGATATTCAAGTGTTGGTTTGTAGGGATTTGATTGGTTACAGGATTTCATCATGAGCTGACAGATGGTTAGAAATCCTGTAACCAATCAAATCCATACAAACCAGTACTTGAATATCGATGAGATGCTGGCTAGCGACTTGCCCTATTCAGGTAGGTAGTTACCTGGGATTCCAGTGGGAAGTCGTGACCAGTGGGGTGTAGGAGGTCAGGTGTGAGGACAAATACTCGCTGAAGATGTTGGCTAGGGGTTGCGCTATGTCATGAATTGGCAGAAGTTTGAATTCATGAACTGGCCACTGGATCGGGTCCCAGTGGCTTAATGGTATACGAGCTCGCCTTGTAACCAGAAGGTCCTGGGTTCGAACCTCGTGGTGTGGGTGCGTACTGCTAAGGAGCAAACCTAAACTAGGACGAAACGGCTGTCCAGTACTCTCAGGTTTTCCAGTGGTTTTCTAATTGATGTCAGCTCATGATGAAATCCTGTAACCAAATATAGATATATATATTTCCTTTTATTGATTTTAGCATATTTCTGTGTATGTTTTTTCTCAAGTCACTTTGTCTGGTTCACTATTATTTGTATTTCGTGACTGAAAGTTATTTGAATTTATAATTAGGCTTTGAGTACAAATTGTAATCTCTCTAAATGCTGTCAGTTTTAGTAACAAGAGAATATGAAGTAAATCATTCTTTTCTCCGTAATTAATCATCATGTCTATTGACAAACTGAACAAAATTAGGATGTACTCTTACTCAGTAACAGTTGGCTTCTTATAAGCTGCTTACAGCCGAAGGAGATTATTAAGTATACCCACAGAAATAATGTTAGCATACTTGCACACCGGGGGTCTCGTTTGCAGCACATGCATGGCTTTTCAAAAAAACAAAAGAAAAAAACAAGTCCCCTTGAGATTTATACTTTCGATAATCAACTAGCCTCAGCATAAGGTTGTTAGTTGGCTTTCGGAGAAGTTAGAACCCATTTGTCAACGCCTAGCCGTGTACACCATGAAGGACTCATTTCATTTCGCCTAAAGTGCGAACCACATGAATGTTTTAAATAAGTTCATGGTGTCACTTGATGCAGCCTGCTTGCCCACAGTAATTGTAATCAATGAAACTGTCGAAATCATTTGTGAGCATTCTGATCTTCTCCCACTTTTAGAGAAAATGGATTGTCATTAGATGGTCTATTCAACTATGTTGCGTAGCGTTGCTATTTGATCAGCACATGATTTACTTTTCCTGAATCAACCTTCTTCCGGAAGACGTTTTGTCTCCAGGTTAACGCGACTCAATGTTTCGCCTAAAATCGAAAACAGCGTAATTTAAAGTCATTTTTTGCAGTGGCTTAAGTCGCCAATATTTGTCAGTTTAACGAAGCAGCCTTTCTTCCAATCAGTAGATACTTCCACCCCCCCCCCCGCATAATGAATTAGACACATATACCATTGTGTCGACGGTTCTTTCATATTTAGTGGTTTCATTTATAACTAATATTGACTTTTATTAAAACTAGTATTGATAAAAAAAGATTATTGATTTACAGAGGCTTTTCTGTATCTTTAAAACCACTCCTCTTCTGCGTTAGGGAGTAAAGGACAAACTGCCTAATTTGGCTTCTTCCACGTGGATCTACCAATTTAACTGCTTCTGTGGAATGAGCCAGTTACATAGGCCGTAAAATTAGGCGTGTATCTCGTCGAATTTCCGAACATCATACTGCATGGTTAAGCAAAGGATAAACAAAATCTATTCGCAGCGCTATTCTATCTCATCTTGTGGATACGGAACACAAGATTCACGTTAACCATGCTTTCAGGGTCATTTACCGCATACCTACGAATCTCACTTTTGCCTTAAGGTTTGACTACTAAATATTGTTGAGGCTGTGGGGATCCATATTAACAAGCCTGATTTATGCATCCAAAAGAAGTTAGTTCAGACGTTAACATTACCTTGGCCATCCAGGTTTGAATAGTCCTGAATTTTTGTGGAATTTCCCTAAATCTAGTTGATATTCTATTCGCTATTACATCTTTATAACTATTATAATTTAAGTATTTTTAGTGAACTGTAATTCCATCATGATCTTACTTTACAAATCAATATTATTTAAAAAAACACTCATATTGTTATTAACTACCAATCTAGAATATTCTGTGTAAATAAGATGTATATAATTGTAGAGCCGGAAGTGGGATTTATCGAAAAGAATATTCTTTGCTCGATTATTTTAAGTTTTATAGATGTTTGAATGAATATTTTTGCTATATTGAAATTTTCTTTATGTGTCAAATTTTTGTTTAATTCAAAAGATTGTAGGTGATGATTTATTGGTTACCAATCCAACAAGAGTTCAAAAAGCGATTAATGTTGGTGCATGTAATGCATTATTGCTAAAAGTCAATCAAATTGGTACATTTACAGAAGCTTTAACTGCTTGTCGATTAGCTAAAGAAGCTGGTTGGAGAGTTATGGTATCACATCGATCCGGTGAAACTGAGGATACAACTATAGCTGATTTAGCTGTTGGATTAAATTGTGGTCAGGTATTTAATTCACCTGCATTGTTTTTATTTCAGAAAATGTACTTCTACTATACTAGAAACAAGGGTTAGTAGGCTTGAGTTTCAATGGGAATACCATTAATCACTGCAGTTTGCATGTGCACCCAGTTGGCGAAATCCAATTAGGAGGAAATGCATGTCAGTGGAGCACTTCTGCATCCCATTTCTAGTGATTATCCATCAAATTATTTCATGTTAACCGACAGACATCCTCTAAGCGTCCCTAATAAAAGTCAACATGTCAACAGAGATCAAACATTTTGACAAAGAAATAATACTTGTGCACTGCGGTAGAGTATAATTCCATTATAGATTAGATTTTATTTTGATAAATCACACAGTGTTACACAGTAATATTAACTGATGACCGCGTTTCGAGCACAAATTATTGCCACTCATAATCATATCAAGTTACTCACACAACTTATTTCCTTCATTTACATACATGTATGGAATTTACCAGATATTTAAATAAAAATCAATATGTAATAATGTACATTCAGAAATAATAATATGATGAGAAATAAGACGAGTGTTTTCATAGTCACAATAAGTAACTTGTTATAATGTTGTGATGTGTTTGAATTGAAATAGAAATAGTAATCAACCTCTGTCTCCACCTACATAGATTACTTCTTAAAATCTTAACCGCCTCCCACCCTATTGTGTGGTTGTGTGTTAATGCATGCAGTGCAATTACTGAGTTTTCTTCTAAATTACTTATCTTCTCGGGTCAATCACTTTTACCTTAGCCAAATTCTAATGTTCCACAAATCTGACTAACCCGATCTACTAGTTTGACTGACCTAAATAGCTGACTTAACTCACAGTCATTGCAGGGTATTTTGTAAATTATATTATTTCAATTTATATTATATTATTATCTGTAAGCTAGAAGACCTGGTGGACCCAATTAAACAAAATAATATAATTTACAAAATACCCTGCAGTGACTGTGAGTTAAGTCAGCTATTTAGGTCAGTCAAACTAGTAGATCGGGTTAGTCAGATTTGTGGAACATTAGAATTTGGCTAAGGTAAGAGTGATTGACCCCGAGAAGATAAGTAATTTAGAAGAAAACTCAGTAATTGCACTGCATGCATTAACACACAACCACACAATAGGGTGGGAGGCGGTTAAGATTTTAAGAAGTAATCTATGTAGGTGGAGACAGAGGTTGATTACTATTTCTATTTCAATTCAAACACATCACAACATTATAACAAGTTACTTATTGTGACTATGAAAACACTCGTCTTATTTCTCATCATATTATTATTTCTGAATGTACATTATTACATATTGATTTTTATTTAAATATCTGGTAAATTCCATACATGTATGTAAATGAAGGAAATAAGTTGTGTGAGTAACTTGATATGATTATGAGTGGCAATAATTTGTGCTCGAAACGCGGTCATCAGTTAATATTACTGTGTAACACTGTGTGATTTATCGAAATAAAATCTGATCTATAGTGGGATCAATTATTTTGGTCCAGTTATTTATAGGGAAAATTGAAATTGACCAGAATAAGCCTTATTTCTACGTTAATGAAACCTGATAGACATCAAACTATACGGACTTAATGCGTTAAAGAAACCTACTCCAATCGCTAACTACGTGAACTATAATCGCAACAATAATGTTACCAGTATGTGAAAGTAAAAACAGAAAACGGTATTTACTGTCTTGGACAACAGGCCGAACAGTTCAAATAGACGCTGAATATGTTGTTGGTTTTAAAGTACTTTGACAAACGCTTAACTAACCAATAAATTCAAAGAGTGTCCAACCTTCAGAAAGTGTCAGAAACACTGGAGGCTCCATGGGTGCTTGGAAAATGCTAAATATTATAGGCTAATATCAGACAAAGGACAGGCAACACTAAGTGGTCTACAGCGAAGACATACATTAAAATACTTCGGTTCCCAAACAGTTGGTATCATATTGAAGTGACGATTAAATTAAAACTGGAGTGTATAACATTTTGCAAGTGATCAGGTGCTGTCCATGATTCATGTCAGTATGAACTGAATCAGGCAATCAGTGTATGATGAGATAAATTTTAAGGCATCGGATGCAAAAATCTAACAGTTAAACTGCTTCTGTGAGGGTGTTCAGCCAAGAGTACTACTGATTTGTGAACACTAATCAATCTTTTTAGATAATTAAAAGAAAACTTAGAAAATATGTGAATAGTGCATTTTATCCCACTTGGTGAATTACAATGACCTATGCTGGATAGCAGGACATACCCAGGCCAAATAAGCCTTTCTAGCCTTCAAGAGATCATTTAATAGCAGCTAGCACAAACTATCAAACAACTGAAATGATTAACATTGCTTAATTCTTACACTACCGATCCTTAAACTAGGAATTGCTGCACACTAGTCCAAAAACCTTATCTGACATAATCTTTACGTGTAAACTCTAGTCTCTGTCAATGCGTAATACATTGCCACCATTAACCAATCCCACTGATGAGCATTCACTTCACACCAACCGCAGATTCCCACTGGAATTTCAAGGCATTCAAGCTAGGATGAAAGGAATGTCCGGTGCTTCCTGATTTTCAATGTCTGTGTAAATGATGGCCGGGCAGGAAAGAATCACCAACTATGGGAAACTATGGGAACAAACAAAACAAGAGCCAATCGCGCAATAAATACGCATGAGAAAGTGGAGATGGATTGGACACTCGCGGCTGAGGAGGCCACTGGGTGACATCGCGCGTCAGGCAATTGCTCGAGTGGAACCAGGCCAAAAGGGGAGCGGCGAGTGGAAAGTTAGTGCGAGGGTGACATGGAGGAGATTGTGTGAAGAGGAGTTGAAAGAGTTTGGACTAAGATGGATGCAGGTGAAAAGTACAGCAGGAGACAGAATCAAGTGGAGACGTGCATTTGAAGCGCTATGTTCGACTAGGAATCCAAGGGCACAATAATAATAATAACTGTGATCTCTTCAGGTCTATCCAACAGTTGGCTGGGGCGGGAAATATTTACGTAGAATTTCAAGTAATCATTTTCTACCGGGATTTTGTAAAGTTAGGAGCCCTGTATTGCTATGCTGTAACTAAATGGCAGTCGGATTGATCAGATATCTACTGCATGACAGATCTTAAGTAAGTACAGCAGATGGGTCCCACTGAGTGATGAAACAGCCACTATCATTTACGCGTATTTAAGGTTCTTTTCCTGTAATACATACAAATATACTTACCTACTTACATACATGTATGCCTATCTGTTTCAGATTAAAACTGGTGCACCGTGTCGTTCTGAAAGACTTGCAAAATATAATCAATTATTACGTATAGAAGAAGAATTAGGATGTTATGCAGTGTATGCTGGAAATGTATTTCGGGCACATGGAATATGCTGAAATAAAGTTACAACTACAAAAGCAAAAACTTTAAAACTTAGAAGGATGTAGAGTATTTTATTTTTATTACTAATTTTTGTTTAGAACAATAAGAGATTAATATTATTAATGAACTTATTAGTATTAGTTCAGTTTTAATTCTCTTTTCATTTTTGATGCTTTGTTGGTAAACTTGAACGATGATCTATTCATCAGTCGACTTTTGAAAAATCAGCTCAGTCTCAACATACTGCCCGTTATCTAAAGTCCCCACTAAAAGATAGCGGAATTTCTGGTTTCTCATAGAATTGCACATTTATTAAATAAGGAAGATTTCGAAAATTGATTGATTCCAAAACTCTCAAAACTTGGTTTTGAACGCCTGTTAGGTCATGAATGTATACTGATGAAGAGTTACAAAGTACGACGAAACAGCCTCCTAGTAATGCCTAGTTTTCAATGGTTTTCTGACTGGCGTTAATTTGTAACGAATTCCAATTGATGGAATAAATCAATTTCCATCAAAATAACAACCAAAAACATGATTTGTGTTTTGATCAGTGAACTACCTGGAGATTTAATAAAAAGCCGCAGCAGGTGAGGTCCACAGAGTCAGGTGTGAGGACATATATTGACGAGAGTCAAAATTCACGATCCAATGGATTACAGTCAACTGACCGATGGGTCATGTGCTCACCTCGTAACCTGAAAGTCCTACTCCTGATCATTAGCAGAGTCATAGATGCATAATGTTGAAGAGTTCCAAACTAGAACGACATGGTTGGTCGGTGCTACCTAACTACCACTGGTTCTCTAAATGACGCCTTTTCCTGATGGGATCTGATTTGAAATTTCAGAAATGACATGAGGTCACACAGATTTTAAAACAACTAGAGACGTTTTGGGAATTATAGTATTAAGATTAAGTGACTATCAACAGACACTTAGACATAGGCACCATTTGTAACATAATGAGACTACATGGACTTCACAATCGGGACGAAAACAAACTTGTCAAACATGGTTTTGCGAATAAAAATCCTTATTGTCAACTTAAGATAAGCATTATAAATTATCTAAAGTCGTTAAATAACCTACGTTTGAGTCTACCTATTTGAGGAGTTACATTCAACTTATCTGTCGGATAACGACTCCACTAATTATTGTTGTAGGTAAGATATGAGGACAGTCATCACAAACCATGCATACTGTACGACAGTTAGCTCTGTTCCACTTTACAGCTGTAGAAAGATAGGAGATCTGAAGTGAAAAACTATTTTTGACCATGGGCATTACCAAAGCATTTTGAATAGGCTTCAGAGGTTTATCAACAGTTACCTTAACTCCTTACTGAAGATCAGATAGCCAGCTATAAAGGATTAGCAACAATGAACTCTTGGAACGAACCCAAAAACATTTGGAAAGAAATCACGATATATTGGATACAGTCTAAGGAGACCATTGAGTGAAGTCATATACAAGGCAGGCAGTAGAGTGAAATCTGAACGTGAAACGGTGAGTTTTGCGTGGGTTCTATGGTGATATAGGGAAGATCATACGGAACGAAAATGAAGACTTATTGGCTAAAAAAGACTGCAGAAGACTGAGTGTAGTATAGATGTCCTTTTGAAGCCCTATGTTCTTCTCGAAACCAAAGGGAGCAACATGAGGTTAAGGAAGGCGTGAAATTCAGCTGATGAGGCCACGAAACCCTGACGATCAAGATGCCTAGAAGGTACGCTACGTATCTCTTACTGTCAGCTTCACTGATCAATAAAGTCAACTGACATAAAATTACATTAGATAGGACTTATAGTCAATCAGATTAAAATATATCACCATTTCTTAAAGTCACTGATTGTTAGTTTGAGCCGAGTTGACTCAGGCCCATGGGAGGTTAAGAATCAAATTCTTGGTAGCTATCATTATTCATTTAACACATTTAGATGCATACAGATAGTTTTAAAGCAGAGATATTGATGAGATATGCTGTGTGAATGTGCAGTGCTAAAGGGTCACAAACTAACATTAATGAGTACTATAAAACTTAGTGACTTTCAAAGCTGAAACCATTACGCAATTTATTTACTGTTTGTTATTTTTGGAAAAAGCTTTAAGAACCTTTCCTAGTAGTGTATTAAACTCACTGTGCGTCGTTGGCACATCGGTCAGGACGCTCGCCGACCATACACATGGTCTGGGGTTCGATCCCCGGCCGACGAGGCACTCCTTTACCTTGCTAAGCCAGAAATAAAGTTGGTAAAGAGGAAAGGTTGGGTATGAGGCTAGCGACCCCATCCTGTAAAAATAAACACTGCTACAGAAACTTTAAGCTAATAGCTTGAAGCCCTATGCTCCACTAGGAACGTGAAGGAACTAATAATAATAATAATTCATTATGTGCCTCAAAATTGTTTAGAATGCTGCGAAGGCATTCGTTACATTTGGTCTTCCACTTTTTCTCTTTTATTGTACTTCTATAACATTAAGGTTCCTCTACTTTTATGCATGACTTTTTGAAGTTCCAAAAATTGGTACTCATACACTTTAATACAACTTTCAGTGTTAGTCAAATTTCTCAGGGTTCAATAACTGATGACACCTTAACCAGCATAAACTAATCAAAAGAGATAATTGTGAATAAACGAAAGCAAAGAATTATTATCACAACTAAAATATCTTCGACGCTTCTAAAGTTCTACTGAAGATGATGATTCCTGTGTAACTGAATGAATATATCAACAATCAACTCATTTAAACTGCAATTTCATTATGCTTTATATTTCATTGTTATTGTGAATTCAAGAACTTCAAGTCTAAATGGTTTTAGAACAGAAGGCAACTTATTATGAGTCAATGTTTCCCAAGTACCTAACCTGTCATATGCTCTGATGGTGACTTTGGTTGCCGTATCTGCCAAGAGCGATGGGATAGTACGCAATCTAATCGTTGTGTGCAAGGTTTGAAGAAGCCTGTGTGCTATCTGCATGCACCTCGCCCTGATAATGTTTGTGTGCGTCGGTAGCACAGCAATTAGGACTCTCACCGACCATGCACATGGTCCAGGGTTCGATCTCCTGCCGATGCACACTTGATATCAATGGTTGGCCTGAAAAATTTGGGCTACCGAAAATTCCATACTTGTACCAAAAATACGGTGTGAAATCAAGCTATAATAAAAAAATCACACTTAAGGTAACACCAATGAAGTTTAATGATCTTCAGCCAGCCAGCAAACAGCTTTCATATCTTAAGAAGTAAATACATAATTAATTATACTTTCTGATCATGTTGTCTTTGCCCTAGAGCAATAAATTTTTTGTCTTTACGAGCAATCTTTCACAGCGTATGAGAATAGTATTCGAGTGATCAGTCATATATCGTTATGTGTTGAAGTAGTAACGATAGAAATAATCCGGTTTCAGTATTACCTCTGTAACAACCAGTGAAATTAAAGACTGTCAGATCTTGTGGAGGACGCTTTTCGCCTTATCATTTTACCATGTGGAGAGAGGGGAAAAGACACATTATGACCCAATGTCGTCAGTTTAGGTGGGCTGCGTAGCTTATAAATTTACTACTGCACTAAAGCACATTCATGATGGGAACTACATTGAAAGTGATCAGTTTTGCACTATTTCACTAGATGTTTATAGTCAATGGATTGTAACATCAATTGGCTTACACTGCACTTCTGGACTAAAATGAGTGATTAATATCGTCTTAAATTCAAATCTTATAAAATAATGTTATTCCCTTTCATCATTTACCGGCTTATTTCTTTGTTTATTAGTTTTCCTTAAGATATACTAAATATGCTGCCAGGAAACATATTATTACTACTTTAATTAGTTGTTCCTTGGGTTCGGAGTAGAATAAAGGTCTTCAGCAGCTCACTTCCATCACGCTATGTTCTCCGCCGGCTCCAAGATTGCCTGAGAACTTCCATGTCCTCCTCGCATGATCTCCTATATGTAATCCCCTGATCCACTCCCAACTCATCTCTTGCTAGTCAATTTCCACTCAAACGGTCTGGTGTGTGATGTTACTTAAAGGTCCCCTCAGAGAATGTACAATCTATCTCCATTTTGCCTTTGCATGTTTTCTTTCTTCTTTTTTTCTTTTTTTTCTTTTTGATTACAGCTTGACTCCACACCGTATTTTTGGTACAAGTATGGGATTTTCAGCGTGGATATCGGTAGCCCAAAATTCGCAGGCCAACCATAGATATCAGGTGTGCGACGGCGTGGGCTCGAACCTTGGACCATGTCCATGGTCGGCGAGAGTCCTAACCACTGTGCCACCGAGCAATAGCTCGTTGGCTGGTTTGCTACACTGTGACAGTTACCTAATGCTTTTTATCCTCCGCTGTATCGAGACATGGTAGCTGTTTAATGAAAATCTACACCTGGTATGATTTCGATTTGGAATAACCTTCTGCATAGTTCTCCGACCCTGACTGGTCTTCTAATGTCAGCGTTTGAAAGAGGCTAACTTTGGTGATGATAGTTTAACTTCATCCGGATTCATAATGATTGGGCTATGTCCACATGTCTTCATTTCACCCGTTTTCAGAAATTTGATTGGATTTTGTAGAGGACTTTGAGAGATTTCTCAAGTAAAACTGGATATCCTGAGTTTAGAATATTTTCTCATCAAATGAAAGATGAAATTCCCCTCTCCTTTTGTTGATCAGGTAAGATGGGGTCCAGGAGCGCGTTTTACAAATGGACACATGACAGCAGGAATTCATCTTCATATTAGGAAATGAACCTATATACACATGCCAATGTAGCCCAATGAGACATGACTTGTCGCCTCATCTAGTAGTAACGAAAACTTCTTCTTCTTCACTAAACCGTCTTTTATTCTTCCTATTCAATAAGACAGTAGTATATTTGATTGAAGACTAGGTAGGCTTCTGTCGATCACCTCCAACTATGTAATAACAACAATTGAGAATGCACCGTGATGATGAGCCAAGTAATACTGTGGTCACACTGTATGTTTGACAGAGGGGATTCAGTCTTCATCAACTTCAAGGATAAGACGCTTGATATTAATTACTATCGGTTATCTGAACGTGGTATCCATCACAGTCACATAGAGGAGGTCA